AGCCCGTCTGGATCTGAAACCGAAGCAGCTTTGCGATCTTCTTCCGGCAGAGTAACCTTCGAACCTCGAGGCCCTGAGCTATGCGCTTGTAGGCTGCCCGCGCTCATTGCCTCGCACAGAGGAATCGGGTAGCTTGCTGAAAATGCACTAACAGCTTCCCCAGGTCTAGGAGTCTTACCATATACGGCTTTTGCCGATGGGCGGCATCTAGCTTCAAACAACTCAATGCTCCCTGCTGTAAAGGTGCCTTGAACTGTGAAATGGCAGCCTTTGTATGGGCATTTGCAAACTCCACCTAGGGCTGCATACCAAGGCTTGTTATGCAACCACTTGCTAGCTTTCTGAAAACCGGAACCGTAGCTGCAAAAACAAAATTTGGTAAGGGTGCAACCAGCTGCGATAAGTCTCTAAAAAATCTGAAGTTCAAACATCACTGACCCTCCAGGCTGTTCACAAGAGATAAAGCTTCCACTGCCGAGGGCAAGAAACAAAATGAGAGCGGTTCGAACTGCCAACAATGTTTGCTCCTTAGTTTGTTTATCCTCGGGATTGAAACCTGCCGGGCAAAGCTTAGACCTCAATCTAGGACGTCTCAACGTTCCGAACGACCAACATGGCGGAGCTGCGTGCCACTCCTTTACGGCGCCAGAGTATGCTAGGTGGGCAAGGTTCCTGAAAGTTTGATTATCAAACAAGTCTCCGTAGCCCCGGCCCACAGCAGTCCGCTCAACGCCTGGATGCACTCTCAAGCCCCTGCGGGCGTGTGCATTGCTCCAATTGCCGACACCTGCAAACAGTTCAATGCAATCATAGGCGACTGTATTGTCACGCAACGAGTTTGTCAACTCTGAAGTAAGACTGAAATCCTGCTCCACTGGTCGAACTTCAGGCTCACCAAAAGTTTCACAATGCTCCAAACCAATCTCCCTGAGCGCTAGTCCACCCCTTGTTGAAGTTTTGTGTAGAACCCTCTTTGTTCAGAGTGCCTCCAAAATTCATCAACAACGGAGGAGGGCATGGCTGCGCGGCAAATGCCCCCCCGGAAGGGGGAGGCGTCAAGCATGAAGATCTCTGGTGCAGTTCTTACTCGCATATCAGTCTGCAAAGTTGGGGCAATCAAACACAAGCTCATCAGTTTGGCTCTGCGTTGCTTTGACATCTCGAACACCAGGTCTTCATGGAAGCTGGCACCTTCTTGATAGACCTTGTCCAAAACTGAAAAAGCGGGACGTCGAAACAGGAGAATGTGAGTCCAACATCCAATAAGGCTCTGAAGTAACTTACGTGTGACAAGTCCTTTCTTTACAACAACAGCAGTGATGAAACACAACATGGCCACCCTACCCCGTGGTGCTGAGACTCGACCTCGAGAGCCATCGACTTCGGCGCCAAGTACCGTAGCGTGCAATGCTCTGCGTTGTCTTTTGCCAGGGTGTGCAGTGAGGCCAACAGTGGTGTATGCTCTGTTTGCTGCTGTAAAAACCTCAAGATCCCTGTCGTTGCAGACGAAGGAGCCCCCCGATCGACGAGCTTTCTGAAGTCCTATGTGGTCGTCGATTGTCAATAACTCGAAAAACGATCCTCTGGGAATCGGCTGCCGATACAACAAACACTCCTCCGCCCTCATGCAATCCGCTTTGTTTTTCAGCAGGTTCACATGAGCTTGCTGTGCAATCTCGACCGCCAGCGAGTCACCCATTGCAAGCGTGGCCAAACACACAAACAACTCACCTCGATGCTTGGATGGATCAAAACAAGAAAGGTGTGCAAGTTCTGTTGCTCTGAATGGGATACCAATAGCGTTCCTGCACGCACGCTTGCTTGAGACCCGGAAGGTATATCAAAATTCGCAGAGGTCGTCCGACGAGCAAAGCAGACATTCCTCCTCGCCCAGCTGAATCAGCGCAATCAGATACCCAGGAGCTATTGTTCGTGTGAAGTTTGAGTACGGGTAGGACCGGGAGTTCACGACAGTAGGATTCAGAATGAGGCGGTCAAATTCTTCGTCCTTCGGAACAGCAAAGATTCCTACAGTCTCCTCCAAACGAAATGAATGCTTTTCAACCAACTGGCACGCTCCAAGGGCGTCCCACTTCGCAGGTAGGGCGAGGATCTCGTCTCGAGTGGCGTGGACTTTTGCCTTTCCCATCCGAGGCCAAGAGCTCTCCGGCTTTCGTAGGACGTCAGGGTCCTCAAAGGCCTGCCTCACTATATCATCACTTAGAAAAGGGCGAGGATCAAATGAGGGGGCAAGTTTCCACTTGATGCGGCTAGCAACAACAGGTTTTGCTGAGCAGGCATTCGTCGGGACTCTGACCTCAGGCCTCGTCGGGCGAGGGACATCTTGAGGTCCACTGTCTGACTCCACAGGCTCTTCCGCAGGGTGGTCAGCATGTCGAGTCGCTGCAGCACGTGGTTTTGAATATGCATCAAACGACTCATGAATGGATCTTAAAAAACTCTCAATATCAACCAGATCAAACGAACCAGCAGACTCGTGCAAAGAAAAAGAAAGTGCACTCAATTTGCTTAGCTTCTCTCCGGCTCGGCCTAGGGAGTCAAAGGACACATCCTCTCCTTTCAGAGAGTAGCCGACCAGGTCCTCAAGGCGTTCAAGCATCTTATGCTGCGCCTCTGAAATCGGGTGTCCGACCCGAGCATGAGCAGGAGGCGAGCTGCTGCAACCAAGGCTCAGCCAGTTAAGGGTGATGACCAAATGCTGCAAGCAAAGAGCTCGTGTTCGATAGAACCTCTGTCGCCGTCTGCGGCGAGGAGAAACTAAGTTGGCTGGTGTCCAACAACCACTGCTAGGTGGGGGACACGGCCACAGGTCACTTCATGGGCGACCCTGAGGTAAAACGGTGCGGCAAGGCTCCAAGCTTCTCCTAATGAACCAATCCAGCTTTGGGCAGGAATGCGCGGTCTTCAGGGAGGCTAAAACCAACTCAATGAGGAAAGGTGGCTCCATGAATCTGAGGCTTCAAAGCCGCCCCTGACTCAGCGTGGAGAGCCTTTTCCCTCAACTGACTCATGCTGCTCCCACTTGCCCTTACCTCACCAATGGAAGTCACATCGACCCAGCCCCTGCGCTCCCCCCGTCCGTGGGAAGCAGTAGGGAGGCAATCCCTCTGCTCTGGCATAGAAGAGGACGGCAAAGGAGAGCACAGGTTCGGGGATGGATGTGAGGTTCTGCGGGCTGTGGGCTTCAGCTCTGCTCGTTTTCTTCCTTCTTCTTCTTGGGCTTCCAAGGAGCCTTCTTTGTAGCTGGGGTGGTCTCGTCGCCAGCTTCCTTCGCCTCTTTCGAGAGGGTGAAATTGTTCGCCCCCTTGATTTTTGTTTCGAGGCAATCGAGGCCTCTCATGAAGGCTAAGTTTGCTCCCACCCAGCTGGCCGCCGCAAGGCGGCTGAACGGGGTCAAGCTTTGCCGATGCCGATTCCTTTGAACAATGCTGAACTGTGGTTCTGGCAAGGCTGTCAATAGCCAAGCGAGATTGGTGCGACCATAGTCCACGGCCGCTTGATCGATGAATAGAAGGCCGTGACTGGCCACTCCCATCAGAACGACATTGTTCGTGCGGAACCCCGTCTCCCAAGCAAAGGCCCATAGATACGCCTGTTGGATCAGGAGCCGATTGTCGCCTAATGGGCATTTCTTCTCCATGTATTCTTTCATGAGCCCCGGCCCCACTTGACTGTGCTCGATGCCCAGTTCCCGAGAGGCGTGCTCCATGACGGCCAAGGCGACCTTTCCATGATCCTGCATCAGCTTCAGATAAGCTTCGCGAGCTAAGCAACCTTTGACGCTGCCGCTGCCCGCGCTTTGCCCATCGGAACTTCCAGACAAAGCGGCTGTCAATGGGTCGGAGGTCTGACGCTGTTGCTGCTGCCGCGCCAACATAGCAATCTGCTTCATTTGCAGGGCAAGCATCCTCTGAAGTGGGTCGGTCAACGCCAGTTCCAGATCTGCGATGCCTTCCTCCAGCTCTGCAGGTTCTGCTGCCTCCAACCCCGCCTCTTGCTGCGAGGATTCCAGGATCTTCTCTGGCCGCTGTTCTCGCACTGCACGTTCGTGCGCCCCCAGTCGAACCGGAGCCACGCCAGCTAATGCTCTGAGCCTTTCGACGGCATCCTGTGGACCAGCTTGTGGTGAGATGGTTTGAACACCGCCAAACAGGACGCCTCGGTTGGGAGGAGGAGGCGGCTGAACAACTTGAGCCCCCCCCATGTAGTGGCGAGGCGGCTTGTGACTGGAGCGCTGCTTCGAGTTGAGTGATCCGCTGCTGGAGAAGGGAGACCTCCTCCTCCTGCTGCACCCCACTCGGAGGCAAAACAGATTCTGTGGGCCACATCTCGTCGTCTCCAGTCACGTAGTCGCCTGCAGTGTCGTCGTCCATGATCTCGTGGATCCACTGCTATGAACTTGCCAGCAGGGCGGAACGCCGAGGGCGACAAGGAGCACCTTCGTGAGTAAAGCGCAAAACCTCGTAGGCAGATGGATTCCTCAGTGGGTGCCCTTTCCTGAAGTGCTTAGCAAACATCCAAGGCACATCGGCAAGCAAACATGGACCTGCGGGAAGTCCGCGGCCACGGACAGTTTCCATGTACACATCGGTGGTGTAGGTAGCCACTTGATCGTCTTCTCCCTCCTCTGTGGTGAGGGATAGAAGGACCTCTGCGACTTCTGCCAGGTCTGGCAGAGCAACCATGAAACCCCCAGTGCGCACTCGTACGAGAGTGCCTAAAGCTCTCAAACCCGTTCCATCTTCTCGAGAAGGACCGGGTAAGGGCCCTGTTGATGGGGTGTCGTTCAACAGGGCTCTCAGGGTCTGCTCTGCCATAGGCGGCGCTCCAGAAGCGGAGGCCATGGCTCTTGGGCGCCAAGCAGGTAGGCGTCAGCTTCAGCTCTGGATGCAAAGGCCTGGCTCACTGTCCCAGGCCCAGACCTGTGCCAAGTAGGTAGTATAATCCCCTGTCCACCCAGGTGATAGGCCAGGTCCGGCCTTGAGCACAATGAAGAACTTGGAGGGCAAAGTAGGTCCCCCAATGTTGGCGGCCGTCAGTGGCCGATTGTCCAGCCAGTGCCTAGCCAAGACACCAGCCCTCAGCGCTCGAGCCAAGCGAGCTTCAGGATCCCACCCCGCACTGGTAGTCCTCAGACGTGAGATCAAGTGCGAGATAGGGGAGAGGTCCAACTCTTTCAATGTGGTAGGCGAGTCCGCCCTAGCCAGAGCTTCAAACCACTCCCGAGTCCACGGCCCAGATGTCGACGGGTCCTCACCAACTTCTGACCAGGAAAGGATGCTAGCCAGATCTGTGTGAGCCTCTGGCTCGGTGGCCCGAAGGCCTGCAAGGGCACCCGAGCTGGGGAGCTGTGAAGATGTAGAAGTGGAAGAGGATGCACCCACACGCAGAGGAGTCGATCCGTAGCCTTCGCGACGCGAGACCCGGATCCGGAGTTGGCCAACTTCTAAGGCGAGTTCTTCCACCTCAGTGTCTTGGTTCATACACTGTCTCCTCGATATAGCGTTAGCCTCCTTCTGGCCACTTCGGTCACAGCGGCTGATTCAGCCTGCAGGGCTGAGGATGCAACTCCAGTTATCAGCCACAGAAGGGCCTTTCACACCTTGGACGAGAGGGCAGGCACAGGTCCAGACCTCCTCAACAGCAGTCCAGTGCAAAGGCCAAATTGACCAAACGAAGGGCGAGTGCTTAGCTAGGACCGAGCGGGCGCTCGAGCCGAGATTTTTTCTTGAGATGCAAAGTGACTGTTTTGCTGGGATAACAAGCATATACACATATACCAGGACCCACGAGCGGTGGTCAACAAACACCTCTTACTATGAAGAGACACGTTTTTGGGGTGAGGCACTGTATATGTAACATCTATCCACAAAATATGTACTGCGTACATACTCCCTGAAACAATTACTTTCAAGTCCATGGCATAGCCCAGTTGGAGGACCATGAAATCCCAAGACCAAACAGGTGGTGGTTTCCCAAGACCGGCCTCCGCACGGTCGATGTCTTGGGCTTATCTCTGGAGTGGGTGGACCAATGTAGACTCTGTTTGATGAATAACCTCCTCCATTTGGATCGTAAAACCCCTTCGCATACGGAAGGGGTTTATGAATCAAGAGTCCATTAGGTCGCTCGGGACCGGCCACACACAGCCATGCTGGATCTCGGTTGGAGGCCCTCACCACCCATTTCGTTCTGTTCTTCCAACTCCTTTCCCTGCCTCTTGCTGGCTGGCTCCCAGCTCTTCACTAAACCTTCCAGCAGGGCAAGAGCTGCAGCTGCTGCTCAGGGCCTCCTGATGTCCAGCTGGACGTGCCAGGACGTGCCAGGACGTACCACTGTTATATCAATGACTTTCCTCCTTGCATGGTGAGGGTAGTGTCTCAGCATCGACCTAAAAGTGGATCTTGGATAAAAGCAGAACGCTTCTGTACTTGAATGTTGCGGATGGTGCTTTTTGATATGGTTCAAATGATTCATGCAGTTCAATTCCACATTCTGCTACTCGGTTTTGGCGCCACTGGGTGACGCTTGGACTCCTTCGGTTCCACCAGAGACTCAAGTGCCCACACACCACACCACACCACACCACACCACACCACACCACACCACACCACACCTGCCATCTGATCCCGTTGAACCGCAGCTTCGGCTCTACACACTCCGCGCCTGCGCGTAGCGCCCTGCGCTGCACATGATGCAGGCACCGGAGGTCTCGTTGGGTGCATGACCTTAAATGATCCGGAAAGGACTTTCACCGCACACCTCCAGCCACCCTTCAGCCCCCACACCCCCAATGAATCCGGACCGAAAGACTTCCATCCGGACCGAAAGACTCCCCCATCCCTCAACTGGAACCTGCCAACATCTGCCACCAGCGTCTCGTCCCAGCCACGGCCCGGCGCGCAGTCCGAGCATTCAAAGGCGCCAGGCCCACTCGCACGGCCTGGCGGAGGGAGGACGTCATGAGAAATCGGAAGTGATCTGCTAACAGGTCCTGGGAAGCTGCGAACCAGGGAAACACTGCTAGGGGATCCTCCACCAGGATCTTTTAGAAAGGTTCGTGATCTGCTAGGGGATCAAGTTCGGTGGGGAAGCTCCAGGCGGACTTCCAACCCCGACCTCCACAAGAAAGTCGGGACTCCCAGGAGAAGACCACCCGACCTCCTCGGGAAAAAAAATTAGACCGAAGCACAGCACATCTGAAGCCAAGGTACCCCATTGACCAGATGGAGGAGTCAAAAGAAAAAAGACTCCTACAGCTGATCTCCGGTGCTGGGCCAAAAACTCATCTCAGGTCTCAGAACTGGGCAGGATCTGTGTAGGGATGTCTTCCTTCCCACTACACTCCCTGCCTGCGTTTGCAAAAGCACCCGCCGGTTGGGTCAGACCGGAAGACTCATATCCTCTGAGTCTGCCGTGAAATCCATCCACGTAGACGTAACCATGACAAGTCCCAGGGAATGGATCTTCCCTGGAAGTCAAAGACCATTTAAAACGGGGTGTTTGGAAGACCCAAAGAGGAATGTCCTTTAGCTGGGTGGTGCCAAAAATAGTCTTTGGACTTCTAGGGTATTGCTAGAGAGAACAACTTCTAAGGTTGTCATAGCAATGTCACAGCTCGCTTGTCGCCACTCCGTCCACTGCTGTCGCCCCTGGCCTTTGCCACAGGCCTGGCATTGCTCGGCTGCTGTAGCACCAGGCCTGAAGTTCCCAGTGTGGTCCACGGGGCACAAAGAGAACTGCCTAGCTGCAGACCCAAAATGGAGTTTCATCCAAAAAATAACATGGAAAGTGAACACCCTCCTCTTCCAAGGACTTACTTTTTGAGGTATACAGCGCTATAGCGTCCGACTCCAAAGCAAAACGTCCTGGGCTTTCCTTCATCCGACTTCAGAAGGAAGTGCACCAACGCCCCGCCGAGCCACGTCGCCAGAAAACGCCCCGCGGTGCAGTTGCCACAGGCCTCGCAGAGTTGTGATTCGACGAGGGAATCTGCAGGAGCTCTGTCAGGTCATGCGTTGAATTCAAGTTGAATCCTCCGAAGGCGTGTACTTTATGCTTCCAGAAAGTCGGATGCTGGAAGGGTCCAGCTACCGTTCAGTAAGAAAGTTCAAAGGTCTTCAGCGGAAAAATGTCTCCCTTTCGGATCCCTTCTAGGCATATCTTGGCTCTTGCCCTGCTTGGCACTTCCCAGAAGAGTTGGTCAAAACATACCTCGTCAGACCAGGTTCTTCTGCGCATCCCCAGGGTTTGACTGGGATTGCTGGTGCTTGGATTGGAGGGTGGGAGACCTGGAACTGCACCACATCTGATCTGACCAAGTATTTCCCAAACATCCAAGAACAAAGGAACTTCACTGTTGGTGTCCAATTTGTGGGTCTATTTGGGACCACAAAATATACTCCAAACCCCTAGTCAAACGGGTTGTATATGTATATACAGCATATATATATATATATTGTAGTACAGTATATCGGCCTTGGTGCCAAGCCACGGATTGCCCCGGCTGGTCGTTCCAGCGGCCGGGCGCCTTCGGCGGCTTCGTGGCGTGGTCCGGGGGCGACGTGGTGACACCCGACGAGTCCACTTGCTGAAGAGGAGTCTATCTGGTACTCATCTTCGGAACGTACTCATCTTAGTGGAAACCAGGAGTTCAGCAGGGGTGCCAATTGGTGGCTAGGTAAGGGGTGTTTAAAGATTCTGAAAAACGACACACTCTCCTTAGGGTCCAAACAACACCCCGGAAAGGGGTAGGGGTACGGTTGACACGTTTTTGAAAAAGGCATGAAGATGCATGACACCATGACCAAGAACTTCTGGCAAATTGTTGGACTACAGTCCTACAGTCCGGTCGAAACGTTGAGATGGACTGATGGACATCGATTGTCCTGCAACACGAAAACACTCAAAACATCTCAAAACAACTCTTCAAATCATCCCCTCCAAAGATGCAACTCTGATGCTACACTACACTCCTTCATCCTGAAATGAGGCCCCCACTCTTCCATAACCCCACTCTTTTGAAGGAAAGTCCCACCCCGCCAGAGGTCACACGAATTCACTGGACGCGCGCTCAGGTCACACGCGCCAGGCCCTCAGCGCTCCACCCATTCCAGATCTCATCCGGGCGGCACAGGACTCGCAGACCGCAGAGCCACTGGCGCCTTGCAGCTCACTGAAGCCTCGGAAGCGATGCTCCGGTGCCGCCTCCGTGTGGCCTCTGCTAAAAGGTCATGGCCAGACCTGTTGAAAGGTGTTGATGGCTTTTTGACCCATTTCATTGAATGGCTTTGACCGGACAACGATTGTTTTACCAAGGATTTTACTCATCTGGGTCTTTTTGCACCAAAACCTTAAGACTCTGCAGCCCAAAGAGTCCAACCCATTGGTGAAGAAGGGATCGAAGATCGAAACCCCAAGCTACAACCATGGTTTTACTCAGGATTTATAGATTCAAAGTATTCGACCAGTACCAGGTCCAGCGGAGTCCATCGGCCGGTTTAGCCGATGGGATTCCCAGCTTCAGCTCTCAGCGCCCGTTCATCGACGTGAAGGGCTTCCGCCCGTTGACCGGGACACCGAACGATGCACCGGGAACACCAGGGACTTCGCAGGGACAATGCTCCAATCTGCCCCTCCGAAAGGTGCTGTCCTCCTCCGGAGCCTTCAGAACAGCACCAAAAGAGCTGCTCCAAAGGAGGAGCTCAGACCCCACCGTGGAGTCCTCGTTCCTTCCAGCTCCGCGCGCTGCTTAAAGCCGCCGCCGACCCGCTGGTTTCACTCCCCGACGCGACGCATCCCGAAGGCTTCGCTGACGGAGTCCGAAAGGACGCAGTGGTCCGTTGGACGGTGGTGTGGTGTGTTTGTCCGGGATGGAGAAGGCAGCCCTGAAACCCTCAGGTTCATAAAAGAACAACGCAAACCTGAAACCTTTTTGTTTTTGGGAATAAACCTTCAGTTCAACGCCATACGTACAAAACACTCTTCCCCCCCCATAGGTCTTGCTTCCTACCACCCTTCGTCTCCCTTCGGCTCCCGGACGCCCGGCCGCACACCACTGGCAGGCCGCTTGGGCGGTGGCCTCCAGGTGGTTGTATTCACCGGGAGGTCTGCGTTGGAGCGGACCCAGATGTTGCAGCAAACCAGTTTCTACATCTCCCAGACTCCCTCCGACTCCATCCGGACATCCCCCAGACTCCATCCGGAAGTTCGCAGAGCACGAAGTGGGACCCTTCACAGGGAGAATCGATGAAATCCTCGCAGGACGTCCTCAGACTCGGCCTCCACGGCGTCGCTCCAGCGTCCGCTGGGGCAAGGCTGGCAGTCCGAGCCTGGTGCAGGAGTGAACGGTTCACAGAGTTTAGCGGCTCGCCCGGTCCCGAAAAAGGGTCCCAGCGGTTTTCCACC